TTCCAAGCAATCATGTCCCTTTCCAAGGAATCGTCCCTCCTAGCAATATGCTTTATTATCTTTGCCTCCAAAGATCATTCTCTGACTGCACTGTCTCCAAGACATATTTGTTTGTTCTTTTGGCAGTCAATGGGATGTTCAGTGCTCTTCTCCAACACCTCAGCTCAAAGGCAATTCTTCTTCTGTTATCCTTATTCATTGTCCATCTCTCTGATGCATAGCAAGTGATCAGAATGAACATGGCCTAAATCAGACACACCTTAGTCTTCAAACTTATATCATTACTCCTCAATAATTTGGAGAGGTCTCTGACTACAGACTTTTCTAGTGCAGTATGTCTCCTGACCACCTGACTGCTAGCACCAAGGATGTTGATTGTGAGTCCAATTAAGATGAAATTATTGACAACTTCATTCTTTTCTAAATTTATCATAATGTTGCCTAGTTTTTATCATTTATCATAATGTTGCTCTAGTTTTGAGGGCTTTTGTTCTATTTATGTTGAGGTATAATCTACACTGAAGGCCGTAGGGAAAAATATACCAAACAAAAACACCACCACCCAACATACTGATTTAAAAATGGCACCTGGACGTAATGCTCAAAATGCAATAAAGCTCTAACTGTAAGCTCTACCTTTCTAAAAATAAAATTACATTAGACTTTGGATTCGAAATCAAACTCAAATCCTCTGCTCACTCATGGTGACCCTCCATGAGGTTTGTGAGGTTGTAATTTTTTTTTAATGAGAGGCAATGTCTAAAGTGGTGCTAAATTTTAAATAGTGTCCAAATTCACATCATATATTTAAACCTAATATTCTTATTCTGAATCTCAAAGTGTGCATTACATATGCAGTCACCCAAGAAAACAGCTTTCTAAGGAAGGATGACTATTGTACTTGTCTTCTTGGAGAATAAGGGGCAGGTAGGGTGGAAGACCCAGGCCCCTTATCTTGAGCAGGCTGAAATAGAGAACAGGGCATGATAGTGTAGTCTATAGAGTACTGTTCTGCTAGCCAAAAGCCATGCCTCCATAAGTCTGAATATACTAGCTACTCCATGGGAGAAAGATGAGCAGTCTCCTCCCATATTCTTTGCAATCTCAGAAACTTAACAGAGAGTCGCTATGAATTGGAACCAACTCCACAGCAATAAATTTGACTTTGAGGGTTGTTTTTGTGTGTCTGTCTTTTTGTTTGCTTCTTCTTCTTTTTATGTATGTATGTATGTATGTATGTATATATGTATGTATGTATGTATGTATGTATGTGTATGCACGGTGGTGTGTGGTGCTGTTTGATATATAAACTCTCAGTGTAGACCAAGGTAGTGGTGTCTTGGTTCTGAGATGAGGAAACCTGGAATATGAAGGACACAACACTTGAACAAAGTCCCAGAGCCAGAATGCGGTAGAGCTGGGATTCTTAAACAGATAGATATACAGAAAGAGTGGAGGTAGTGCTAAACAGAGACTGAAGTTCCACAATAGCATGTATCCGTGGGAAGGGGCTTTCTGTGAAAGATTTCAGGACAGATAAATGGGCTGGTGCAATGGAGAGGAGCAGCTCATGGTGGGAAAGACTGACTGGAGACTCAGCAGAGCAGGATGAGGGGCTCCTGTCTGAGAAGCACTAAAAACTAAGCTGGCAGGTCTGTTTCCCACTCATTTGCTCACCCCGTTCTAGCCCAATTCCAGGAAATTCCAGAGTCTAGAGGGCAATCCCCTGACCTTTGGACTCCATGGACTTCATGTGCAATACCAACAAATCCAGAGAGTCCAACAGGCCTTGGAATTAGCTACTGTCACCTAACTTCCTGTCATTTTGGGAATGACCCTGACTGATAAGAGTAGAGAAGTGAAATGAGAAAGTCATGGAAATGGTTTTAGCCTTTTAAAGGCCTTTGTCATCCTGGTCTCCATTATTTGTTTTTGGCAGATTATTTAGTACAGGCTCATAGCTCGGTACCCTCCCCTGGGCATTTCCTAGGTAGAGGATAATAGAAAACAAAGAAACCATGCTCTCCAACAATCAGACTTTCCATTTAGAAGGACCAGGAAGGGCACGTCATCCAGGTTCTTTTGGCGTTTAAAAGTCTTTACAACACTCCTTCACAGGGTCTTGTGGTTTCTGTGTGAAGATCCTGATAAATAGGCCCACTTACCATCCTCAACCTAACATGGCATTTTCTGACAGCTCTACAAGAAATGTTGTTCAGAATTCTGTTTAAATGTGTTTACCAGAGGTATCATTCCGCCCTTTTAGACTAGCCTATCAGCCACTGGAACCAGGATGACCTGGGCAGGCAGATTATTGTGATACAAATCACTGGGCACTATGGGATTATGAGGAAACAATCATATTTTGAGAGAACTAGTGAATTAAGAGACTACCTAATGTGATTCTACAATCTCTTTTAGGTCCTCAATTCTGTGATTATCATGCCAGAAATTCGCAGCACTTACAAAGAAAATGCACTAGAGGCAGTAATAGAACAAAAATAAAAAAGAGAGACTACCTAAATCTCAGGAAGCAAAGTGGAGGAGGATATTCAGTATGTTAAAAGGCAAATTCAGTCAGAGTGTTTAATGAGATGAGTACTTGTGTATGTGTCAGCATTGGTAGATATGTACATTGTAACCAAATTTACTACAAATCATAGAGACCTTAAGAACAACAGATCTTATTCTTGCTCTGTCACATGCCATCTTAATCATCCCTGATACATTTGAACCTATTTTTTCAATGCCTGTGATGGGATAAGTATACATATTTTCCAATTTATTTTTTCAAGGGAATTAATAGATTATTTATTAAAAAATTAATCAATATATATGAATAGTTTACTGAAACTGGAAAATATAGAAATATATGAAATATGTTCATATCTGTCGATATTTTCTTAAAAAAAAGGTTATTCAACAGAGTGGGAAACATATTGAACAATATCATTACTCTTACATGCAAGTAAAATCTTTGCTAAATGTCATTTAAAATTGACTGGAACAGTACCGCAATAGAAAACTGCCAGAAATTCAATCTGGATTTAGAAGAGGCTTTGGAACAAATGTCATTTTTTGCTGATGTCAGATGGATCTAGGCTGAAAGTAGAGAATACCAGAAAGATGTTTACTAATGTATGATTGACTCTGCAAAGGGAAGTGGTTGTGTGGATCATAAAAAATTATGGATAGCATTGAGAAGAGGGAATTGTAGAACACTTAATTATGTTCATATGGACAACATCATTATGTTTCTGTTTCCTTTCAATGACAGAATGCAGTTGTAGGGAAACCAACACCAGTGAATTTCCTTTTTGTTTTGCATTATCTTAGTGCATCATGTAGAAACAGAAAATAGAGAAAACTAGGAGGATAGAGAGCTGCTAGGTGAAACTCTTTTTGATTTCTTGGAGACAGGTGAATAATCAGCCATAAATGCACTGGAAAGATCATAGAGGCAAAGATTATGTCAATGGAAGAGCCAGAAGAGTGGGCCATGGAAAACTTAAGGCGTCTGTAGTGTCTTCATGGGTGGAAGTATGTGTACATAACGGATGTATATGAGTGTGTGTATATCTATATGTGTTCTAGAAATAAGGATAAAAATGTGACCAGCCAGCTCAGTCTATTATTGCTTAGCAATAAGATGAGTGAAATAAAACAAAACAAAAAAATGAGTGGAATTGAAGCAGGCATTGTGCTCTATTAAAGCAGAGAGTGGCCCAGCACTGTGCGGGAGAGCCCTACAGGATTCTTTCAAGAAGAGGTTAGTGTAATCTGAATAGTTATTTATTAATCTAGAGGTTGAAGGCCAGACTAGCACTGTCCCTGTTAACCAGCCTAGTGAGATGATACAGCTCTGTGTCTAGTCTCATCTCACTCTGCTACTCTGCCACATCCCTGGACTAGAGCACCAGCTTCTTTGTCCCTACGGCCCTGGTCTGTAGAAGCCTCAGTAAGTCATATGTTAGGTGGGTATGCGATTCCCGAGCTAGAGTATGGCCAAGTCTCATGACTTGGCTCTCCCAGCCTCGAGGACATTTACTGGGTAGAAAAAGGGTGGATGTCAGGCCAAGAGTCACATTACAGTATCTGCCACTGCTTGTGCTGGGAGAACCTAGATGTTCCTAACCACTTCCAAATGAGATTGTGCCTTAATTTCCAAGGGGAGCCTTGAAGGATTAGCCCTATGAGGGTGGGGCTAAACTATTGAAGGGAGGGACAACTGAGTGAAACTAACGAACAGATAGAACGCTGAGTGAGACTGATGAGGATTCTCATGAGGATTCATGATATTGATTTAGAACACAGGGGACTTATAGGAATGAGAGAGGGTTCCAGAATGCTGTTAGGTCCAGGGCCATGAGAGAAACTTCTGGATGAAAAGGCTTTGGAGCCTTTTTGACAGTGAGAAATACTACATTAAGAAGCAGCAAAATCAAGTTAATTTTGAGTTGGGTTAGATGTCTAGTAGATGGCTTGATTTGGAGTCATAATTTGTTCTTCTCCTTTTGGGAAGCAGCTCTTAGTGCCTACCACTGAGCAGATGACAGATTACTGACCATGGAGGAGAGTGGAAGATGAAGATGAGAAGTAGGTTCAGATAGCAGATGGAGCCAGAAAGGACAAGTCTGCTTTCTCTCTTACACTTGAAGCCAATAGTCATAAGTGAACTAGAACTCTGTAGCCTCATTTATTTTTTTCTTATGGACTCAGGAATCATTCTGACAGTCTTCCAGCAGGAACGTGAAAGGCCTGGGCCCCCTCTGTCCCTTCCCTGGGGCTCCATTGGCTGTTGTGTCTCTCTTTATTACTGTATTATTGCACACATCTCAAAAAGTACTCTCTTCAGCCTCCTGCAGGCCGGGGGTGGCCAGTCTGCATACCTGTCTTCATCTCTGCCTAGTGTACACCAAAGGATGAAAGAAATGTTTGGTATAACTATGTTGGTTAACAGTACTAGATAAGATCATCTTCCTTGATTTTTTCCCACTAAGATGAGGACCGTGTTCCTGTTTTCTTCACTCCCTCTCCTTCTTCTGAGTGTGATAACAGCATCTTGTTCAGAGAAAGAAGCCTGTGAAGTCCCGAAGACCTGCCATGTGGTTGCCTGTGGCTCCCCAGGCCTTAACGGCTTACCGGGCACCAAGGGAGAAAAGGGAGAACCAGGTACAGGATGGGCTGCTCTGCACTAGTGACTCTACCTCTAAGCAGAACTTCCTGGAGATGGGAGGATCATAGTGTCTTATTGAACAAACTACATTTGTTGTTGCAGTTGGGCGTAGTCAAGTTGAATATAACTCATAGCGACCCTATAAGCAACAAATCTGAACCCTGGTCTATCCTGTGCTATCCTCATATCTCTGACACACTTGAGCCCATTGCTGCAGTTACTTGCCAATCTATCTTGTTGAGAGTCCTTCTCTCTTTCTTTGACCTTCTACATTTCCAAGCATGATATCTCTTTCCAAGGACCAGTCCCTCCTAACAACATGCTTAAAATATCTGAGTTGAAGCTTCACCATCTTTGCCTCTAAGAAGCACTCTGATTGCACTTTCTCCAAGATATATCTGTTCTTTTGGATTTCCATGGGATAATTAGTACTCTTCCCCAACACCACAGCTCCTAGGCATCCATTCTTCTGTCATCTTTATTCATTGTTCAGCTCCCAAATGCATGGCAAGTTCTATTAACCATGTGTTAAAATTCAAAACAGAGATGAGACTTAAACTCTCTGCATCCCAGGCTCTACAGAGGTATTGGTAACATGTGGCAGTTTTCCTTTTTGCTTAAACTTTCAAGGCAAGCTGTAACATTGGACCCAAGAAGATCATTCTTCTTTGGATTATCTATAGCTCATTGTAGTTTGACAACCTTATAGTCTGGATCATTATAACCAGTGGCTAGAAAGTTGACCCTGAGTCGTGATCTTCTTTCTGTTGACATCAAACTCTTGAAAAAAAAGAGCTACTAAGCCCCTTTCCTTTGCTTTCTACCAGGCGAAGCACTCAGAGGCTTGCAGGGTCCCCCTGGAAAAGTGGGACCTCAAGGAATTCCAGGGCCTCCTGGGAAGCAAGGAGAAAAGGGTCTAAAAGGAGATCCTGGAGAGAGCTCAGGTAAGGAGTTCACCCCCAGCAAGGCCTAGGCTAAGGACATTCAGAGCCCTGAGATCTTGAATAATAGCTAGGAAGTGGCTTTTCTTCAGTTGTCAAACTGAAAGATGCCTATATCTATTTCCATAACCAAATATCCTCAGCATATCCAAGATATTAAGGGGATTCTCATTGATGCCTTAGAATAGACTTCTCCTTCCTCAACTGGGGCTTCCAGAAGAAGTTCTCCCTGGCACTCCTTCAGCTTAAATAGTCTCATGGGGGGCTCTGGTTCAAGATGAAGGAAATAGGCCATCTCAGATTAGGGCTGCTGGGTGGAGCAAACGGTTAAATGCTGGTACTAGTCAAACCTACCCAGAGACACCTTGGAAAAAAGATCAGGAAATTTGTTTTCAAAGGTCACAGCCTTAAAAATGTTATGGAACAATTCTACCCAGTAACACATGGGATTGTTGTAAGTCAGAATCAACTCGATTGTGTAACAAACCATCTCAAAACATTGTGACTTAAAACAATAACCATTTATTTAGATAAAAGAGATAGCGTAGTTCAGCAATTTTGTTGGTTATAGCTGAGTGGTTTTCCTGCTGGTGTCAGCCAGGTTCACTCATAGGACTACAATTAACTAGTTGTCTTTGGTCTCACTTACACATCTGACCTTTGGCTGCCAGTTGGAGGTTTGAAGATAATTGGGCCTTAAATCATCCATCATCTAGCAAACAATGTGTTGGTCTTACCCACAGGATAATGACTATAGGCCTCTTAAGAGTAGAAAGAAAAAAAAAAGAGTAGAAAGAACAGAAGCTACAGAATCTCTTGAAGGTTCAAAGCCCTTACAGTCTCCTCTGCAATGTGCTGTTGGTGAGAAGTAGTCGCCAGTCCAAATCCAACTCAAGGAGAGAAAAAATGGATTTTGTTTCTGAGTGTGAAGACTTATAGTCAATTGTGGTCATTTTTGTCATCTTCTCTATACCATGTCTTATCTTCTTCCTGTTTGGATAATAGAAAACTCGCAAGGTCTTGGTTTACTGATACACAGAACACACCAGGCAAAGCAAACACAAAACAGTAACAGCACCACCACCACCAACAAAAACTCTTCCATAATGACAAAACTCTTCAAATTTTTAGTCAATATTCACCAACCCAGAATAATTTCCCAGGAGATTTTTTTTCTGCCTCGATAAAGCAATTTATATGGAATAATATTACTGACAAACATAACTTAAGGAGAGAGGCCATGCTAAGTAAAGTGGCCGTGTATATACATTGGATGTGTATGTGAGCAGGTACGTGTGCATAAAGTGTCTTTACATTATGAAAAGTTACATTTTGGATTAGATTAAAATAGTTTTCCCTCTTTTTCAATTGTGTTCTAATTTTTATTTTCCTTCAGTAAGCAAGTACAAGCAATCTCTGGGTTGTGAACAAGAAATGTTCCTAAACTTGTCTTTCAGTCAAATGTGTAGGCAAGTTGAAGCAGTTAGGTACAATTAGTATCTAACATAAGTCAGTCAAATGTTTGTCTTTAGTATATAACTCAAACAAATCAGCTCCTTACCGTCTGGAAGGAACTCATAGCTAACTCTGCAGATAGTTTTCAGAGCCTGTAAATTGCACAGAAGATTTCCTGTTTTTCTCCAAAGTCTTAGTATACAGTTCACCTTTTTATATCTATAGTTTTTATAAATTAGCCTTTTTATCTGGTGGCCAAGTGGCAAGAAGCTGTGCTGCAATCTTGAAGGCAAATAGTTCAAAGCCACTGGCTGCTCTGCAGGTGAAGGACAGGCAATCTTCTCCCTTGTGATTAACTGCCTCTGAAAACCCACTGGAGGGTCAGCTATGGGTCGGTTCTGATTCTACGGTACACAACAACAAACAAGAACACAATACATATAAAATACCTCAGAAACACTTCCAAATACATTAAAACATCTTAAATATAATAATACAGCAGTGATAAAAGTAATGGCATAAGACACTGTACTAAAGTGTTCCAGTGGTATGTATAAATGTTTAATCATGATGGTTTTAATCTAAACAATTTTAAGGTCTGTTTCTTTAATTTTTTGTAGTGCTATATATCTTCATGCACACATATCTTCTCTCTTCCCAATACAGTACTTTTCTAATACTTTCCCAATGACCAATGACATTTCATTTCTTTCTGATTGCTTTATTATTTCCATTTTATATTAAATAGTGATTGTTTTCTTTTATTGAATGCATTAATATAACTTGCATTGGATTTATACTTTACAGTTGTGGTTATAAGAGTAAAGAGGAGGAAAATCAAATCCACAGAGAAGGTTACACCCTCAATGGGATCTATCTGAAAAAGACAGATGGAATTCTCTTGCTTAGAGGTGATGAAGCCTTAAGCCTCGTCATGTTCTCATGAGCATCACAAAATAGTGTCATTTGTTAGTAAACGTTATTGCATTGAATTAAAAACTTTTAAACAATAGGCTTGTAGCAATCCATTCATATGCATTGGCTGTCCTTAAGTTGAATGCTCAAAGATTTACTATGGGAAAGAATGTATGTTTTTTAAAAAAAAAATTTATTTGAAAACATAGCTCACATCTTCGATTCCTTCTCAACCATGCTCCTTCACTCTAATTTTCCAGTCACTGATCATATCTTGGCTGCTCTGCAATTGGAACTGAATCGTATCAATAAGTGTAAGTCTTTTCTGTTACTTTTTTATGTGTATTTTTTTATATTAGCTTATTTACAAAACTCAAATATATTGCTTTTCAGACCAGATTCTTCCAATTTCCCTCACCCCTCCACCACTCAAATTGTACAACCCCATGATTAATCCCCTCACCCAGACTACCAATACCTAGTGACGGTTCCTTATTTCTTGTTTCTTAGTAGGAATTCTTCACACTCTTATCGTATTAAATCCTCTTAACAATCTCTAGTGGAAATGAAGAAAAATATAACATATTAAACTGCCCAGAGTTAATAGTGTCAGAGTGAGCTCTGGTGGCTTAGGGTCAAAAGTTGTACTACCAACCTAAATTCACCTCCAGCCACTCCTTGGGAAAAAGATGGGCAATTTCCTCCCATGCAATTTAGTGCCACTGAAAACCCACTGGAGGGTCAGCTATGGGTCAACTCAGACTTCACCGTACGTATCAACAATGATAGTGGCAGACCCTGTCCACTCTGCTCTCAGGTCACTGAAAGGATACCTATGACCTTTTTCTCTGGACTTCTGACCCAGAGCAAATATTCTCAGATATTTTCCTTTGATTTCATGTTAATAATGAATTTTGAATGACATGACTTCTAAGATTCTAACAAAAATAAAAAAGCAAGGGTTTTTCTGCCAACCTGTCATTTCAGAATAAGCTTGTCAAATTTAGCATGTAAAAATACAGCACACACAGTTAAAGTTCTGTTACAAGGAAACAGAAAATAAAACATTTTTATATAAATATGTCCTGAATGTTGTATAGAACATACTTATACCAAAAACAAAACAAAACAAAACAAAAAACCAAAACCCCAAAACTAAAGCAATTGTTCACTGAAATTCAAATTTAATTGCACATGCTGGTTTGTATCTGGCATATCTGCCCTAGAGGCTTCTATGAGGAGAAACCTGGCTGAAGCCGGGCTTACAAACGAATCATTGTCAATGTTTTTTATTTTATTTTATTCTATATTTTCCATATTTCAGGGCTGACTTTTTCTCTGGGCAAAAAGGTTGGAAAAAAGATCTTCTTGAGTAATGGTGAAAAGCTGCCCTTTGACAGAGTAAGGACTCTGTGTGCCCATTACCAGGCTTCTGTGGCCACCCCCATGAGTGCTGAGGAGAACAGTGCCATCCTGCAAGTGGCCAAAGAAGAGGCCTTCCTAGGCATCACTGATGAAGTCACCGAAGGCCAGTTTCTGGATCTGACAGGAAGGCGTGTGACTTACACAAATTGGAATGACGGTGAACCCAATGACGCAAACTCTGAAGACTGTGTAGTGTTGCTGAGGGACGGCAAGTGGAACGATGCCTCCTGTTCTTCCTCCTTTAAAGTTGTCTGCGAGTTTCCCGCCTGAGGGATCACACCCTTTGGGCCCTACTTGACCTTCACTACACCCTACAGATGAACTGTCTGCTTTGAAAGAGAAATAGATCCCCCTATATGCATGGTTGACTCACTCCTTTGTGGGGATGAGCGATTGGAGAACATGAGAAGAACAGTTTGAATGATGGGATATGGAAGTGACAAGAGGGGGAAGCGGGCAGTGGTAAAAGAAAAGTTTCTAGTTAAATCCTGATCACCAGTGAAAATCATTGTTCTTAAAGATGTATCAAATGATTTAAATCTCAACAGGATACTTTTTGCTAAATTGTCAATGTTAAAATGGACAGAAGTTATCTGGAGCAATTTGCCCTAATTAGCTTCTTAAAAGAAAATCACAACGCTACAATAGACAGGAGTGAAACATCAGTGACACAAACAATATACAATTTTAGTTAGTTTCTACTTTTTGGTTCACAGCACAACAGGCTACTTCAGCTAGTCTTTCATTCTCAGCCATTTATTATAACTGTGATAGATGCAACTAAATAAAATGATTTTTAAAAAAATTTTAATTAAAGTTTACAGAGATTTTTTATTTCCATTCATTCACTGTTGCACACTTTCCTCCCTGTCCACCTCTCCCTGCCAGTCCGCTTTTCTCTTTGAAAAGGTAAAAAAAAAAAAAAATTCTTCATTTGTACACAATCTCCCCCTACCACCCCCACTCCCCAGCCCCCAGTTCACTCCACTGTGCAGCTTTCTTTCTGGACTCTTGTCATGACAATAATACCTAATCATATAATCCTCCAAAACAGTTCTCGGTTTTATCTGTTTCAATGCAGTATACATTATTTTTCCCCCTCTTAATTTCCCCCCAAATCTGATTTCAGACCCACTTTACAACAGTGGCAATATGCAGTATTTGTCTTTTTGTGACTGAGATATTTTACTCAGTAAAATGTCCTCCAGGGTCACCCATTTTGCATAATATTGCATGAGTTCCTTGTTTTTTCAATGCAGCTTAGTATTCCATTGTGTGAATATACCACAATTTTCTAGCCATTCATTTGTTGATGGGCAATTGGGTTGTTTTTTGCTGTTGTGAACAATAAACATGGGTGTACATATATCTGCTTGGGTGGCATTTCTGGTTTCTTTAGGGTATATTCCCAGTAGTGGAATTGCTGAGTCAATTGGTATTTCTATTCACAACTTTTTGAGAAAGTGCATACTGCCTTCCATAGTGGTTGCACCATTTTATACTCCCACCAATAGTTAATAAGGGTTCCAGTTTCTCCACAACCTCATCAGCATTTGTCGTTTGCTGTTCTGTTAAATTTTACTATTCTTACTGGGGCGAGATGATACCTCATAGTTGTTTTCGTTTGCATCTCTCCTAGAACTAGTGATTTTGAACATTTATTCATGTATTTGTGGGCCATCTGAATCTCTTCTTTGGTGAAATATCTATTCATATCTTGTGCCTACTTTTTAATTGGGTTGTTTACCTTTATCTTGTTGTGGTGCTCAAGTATTTTATAAAATCTAGATACAAGTATCTTATCAGACATGCCATTACCAGATTTTTTCCCAGTCTGTGGCTTCCCTTTTTATCTTGTTGGAGAAGTTTTTGGATGTGCATAGGGATTTGATTCTTAAAAGATCTCATTCATCTATTTTATCCTCTCTTGTTTATAGGTTTTTCAGAATGCTTGGAAAACTGTTTATGTTGTGGATTAGGGTTTTTAGAGTTTTTCCATGTTTTTATCTAATACAGTTTATGGTCCTTGGTTTTAGTCCTAGTCCTTGATCCACTTTGAGCTGGTTTTTGTGTATGGAGTGAGATGTGGGTCTTGCTTAGGTTTTCTACAGAGTTTTCCAATTTTGCCAGAACCATTTGTTTAAAAGGCTATCGTTTCCTCATTTAATTGATTTCATCTCCTTGTCAAAAATCAGTTGACCATAGGTAGATGGGCTGATTTCTGGGTTCTCAATTACCTTCCATTGATCTATGTGTCTGTCATTGTACCAGTATCACGCTGTCTTGATCACCACAGCAGTGTAGTAGGATTTGAAATCAAGGAGTGACATGCCTCCTACCTTGTTTCTCTTTTTAAGGAGTGCTTTGCTTATTTGAGATCTCTTTCCATTCCAAATGAAGTTGGAGAGTGCCTTTTCTATCGCGTTGAGAAATGGCATTGATATCTGTATTGGGATTGCATTAAATATGTAAGTTGCCTTTGGTAATATTGTCATTTTCACAATACTGAGTCTTTCTATCCATGAGAAAGGTATATTATTCCATTTCTCCAGGTCTCTTTTTGTTTCTTGTAGTAATGTTTTGTAATTTTCTTTGAATAGATCTTTTGTGCTTCTGGTTAGATTTATTCCCTAGTATTTAATCTTGTGATTAGCTATTATGAAGGATATTATTTTTCCTAGCTCCAGCTCTGCATTCTCTTTGTCACTGTAGAGAAACTGATTTTTATAAGTTGATCTTGTATCCTTCCACTTTGCTGAATTGGTCAACTATGTCCAGTAGTTTTCTTGCTGAGTCTTTAGTATTTTC